TTTAATATTCATCTTATATTTTATATAATACATTATACAAAATATATATATATATATATATATATTATTCTCTTTATTATATATTTTTAATTCGTTTTACCAATATAATTCTTTCTTTCCTTTCATTCTTTTCTTTTATTTTCTCTTTTGTCCAACAAGCAAATAATTTTCACTTTCTATTCTTTTTCTCTTCTTCTCATTTTCTTTCCTTAATGTTTCTTTCACAAATCAAACAAACTGTAATAGACCAACTTATTTGAATAAAATAAATAAATAAATATTTATTATTATTATTATTATATATTAAAATAATACATTTATTTATAAATGTTAAATGTTGACTTATATAAAAAGTTAATATAATTTAATTGAAAGATAAATTTATGTCCTGTATTTAGAGGAGTTTTGTCAAAAAGAATCATAATGTAATAGTAAACCTTAATAATATATTTACAATTTATAAATAAGTTAAACTCAAATTTCATAAAACTCAAATTTTATTTGCACTTTTATTTTGATATTCAATGATTATAAAGTAGATTCTTAAATAAATTTATGAGTTAGATCATGTCTTAAAATAAGACTTATAATAAAAACACATGTAACTCAAGTCATGTATTTTTAATAAAATTGAAATTCAAATATATAAGAAAATCTAATTTGTTCTAATCTAATTTTACCCTTATTTATCAGTGCATTTTTTTTATTATATATAATTCTCCAATTTATAGTAATAGATAAAGGATATATCTTCTCTCCTAACTGCTTATGATCTCCACTTTTAATAAATCATTTTTTCCTTCATAACTTCTTTAAAAAATAAATCAACTTATTTATATTAAACTTTTGTTTTCACATTTTTAGTTTTTATAAGATTCGTAATCGTGTATTCACATGCTTAACCATGCTTCCAAAGCTGGGGTCATTCAGTTAGTTCGTTATGATAAGTATAGGCCCAATCTGTGATGCTATTTTTGATGACCCATTTGCCAGGCCCATAAAACCTGTACTTCAATTGGATTGTGGCCCATTATCAAATTAAATTTGGTTCATGATATATACACCTCAATTTTTCTATAAGTACACCTTCTTATTTAAAAAAAAAATAATTAAAATTTTAAAATATTCTTAATTTTTTATTTTTTATTTTTTATTTTTTTTATTTTTTTTATTTTTTATTTTTTAATTTTACATCACAACATTTAATTTAGTACTTTTTTTTCACACATCTTTTCTCTTTTTTTCAATTTTTACATACACTCCCTTACCTTTCTTTCATCCTACATATTTTGGTAGCATGTGAAAATTAAAAGAGAAAAAAAAAGGTGTGTGAAAAAAATAGAAGAAAGTAGCAAATTGAAAGTTAAAGATGTAAAATTAGAAAATAAAAAAAAACTACAATATTTTATAATTTTTTAAAAAAAAAATAAAGGAAGTGTATTTATAAAAAAAGGAGGTGTATATTTCATGAGCCTTAACTTTTACTCCTTCCCTCAATATATCATCTTAAAAAGAAAAGTTTCTCTTCAAAAAATAAATAAATAAATAAATAAATAAAAGAGAATTGATACACATATGTTTCATTTTCACAAATCGTAATGAGAATTAATAACACATTTTTTCTTTCTTTGACCTCTCAATTTTTATTTTCTTTCAACTGAAATAGATTTAAAACTGGTAAATTAATACAGAAGATTTCTATGAAAGAATTATTAATCTATTAAAAATTGTTATAAAGAAATTATTTCTATATTAGATTCGGTTTCTTTAACAAGATTTTATATTTGAGTCTTATGGATGAAAAAAAATGTGATTAAAAAAAATCATCAAATAAATTCTCCCCATAGGTTAATCATAAACAAAAATCTGTAAATAATTCGTATTAATAATATTGTTATATAAAAAAGACTTTTTATTAATTCCAATCAACATTATTCTCAGCTTAGTCACTTTAAACGTATAATCAGAAATTCATAATCCTATTTGGATAAAATTCAACAAGCCAAATTGAAATAAATTAGCATCAACACTCATCACTAGTTTGCATCGGGCTAGATACTACTTGATAATATTATTCTTCCATCTAAAGGGAAAATTAATAATAGAGCTCAAAAAGTTGAATATGATAGCTTTGTTAAGAACAAAGAAGGGCACAAGCATCACAACTTGATAGAATTCATTAATCAATTAAACAAATACATGATGATTCAGAAATGGATGTTTGCTTTTGATTAACTTCGTTGAGAAATGATGGAAGTACATCATATTGAAATGAAAAAAGAAAAGTGATGAAAGTATGTCAACATGACAATTAAAAATAGATTGAAAAGTTTCATTAGTTATTATGTGTATGATGCTGACCAATCATAGCTTAGGATACACCATTGTGCTCCTCCCATGTTTTGCTGTATAAATGGGTTGCAAAGAAAGAATAATAAAATGTGAAAGCTATGAAAGAACAAATTAAAGAGGTTACTCCTATATATATAAATAATTTATTTCATTTTAATTTTATTCCGACACCGTTTGCTGGCAAAGGTCACTAATCTGGTGGTTACCCTTGATCCGACAGAGAGGCCTTATTAGTTTTTTAATATAGAAAATCAGAAAGTGGGGATGCCTTTGTGAGTTAAAAGGATAATGATTGAATTTTTTTTTATTTATATTTTTAGTTGCTCTTATTAATTCAATTTTCATTCTAGTGTGTTTATTTCTCCTTTTCTGTTTTTTTGTTTATTTTTATTTCTTAAAAGAGAAAATATAATTAATTAAGATCAACTTAGATTGAAACACAGACTTTTAATTTCAACCTTAATTCTATTAGAATTATAAGGTTTATAATTTTGTATTTGATGTTTGGAGTTTTAAAGATAGAGATATGATATTACAGTTGTTAAATGCTATTCTATTTACATTGTTTAAAATGTATGATCAAAGAGTAAAGTTTATCTGATTTGAATTTTTAAGAGGTTGGAAGAAGGGATTGAGGTAAAAGTGTGAAGATCTACATTCAATTTTTATTATCGATTTTATAATCTTTCTGATGGATAAAAAAAACAGCTATATTTTTGTATAATAAAGAACTTTTGGTAAAAATATTTTTAGAAAATGAAAAATATAATGGGGCAATTCACGTTTACATGAAGTAAAAAATTTAAACTTCCACGTAAATTCAAGCTTAAACGTGGAGAGAGAAAAAAAACTTACGTTTATAACTCAAAACCAAACACGCACTACGTAAATATAACATTGGACGTGGAAAGAGAATGCATAATCCGCGTTCAAAATGAAATCCAAACATGCACTCAATCTTCAACTTTTCCACTTCAAATTATTAGTTCTCCAAAAGTTACTACAACATAAGCCACCCATTTCTATTTTTTCTCAAAAAAAAATATATAGTGTCACCACCCTAAAATTAATGTATTTAGAAATATT